ACGGGCTTCTCGCGCCGCATTCCGAAATCATTCGAACGTTCTTGCTCGCGTTCTGGAGCGGCACGATCCGTGTCAAATGATACAATGCGGCCACTCTCGCGCGTCGGCCGTCTGCGCGTGTCGAGCTTCTTCCAAAACTTTCATCACAAACGCGAGGACGCCGTCATCGTCGTCGGCGTGCGTGATCAGCACCGGCGCCGTCACTGGCCGTGCTGCTGTCGTCGCTGTCAGTCAGCATGGTCAGCAGCATCGCTACCATTATCATCGTGTCTACCGACGTCGGCGTTACCATGATACCGCGCCCGCCCAAGTCGCCGACTCGCAGCGAAGCCGCTGCGCGCGCGCATGCGCGGGTTGGCGCGGCCTGAGAGATACACCAGCCAGCGCCAAGCACTCATCGCAATCGCCGCCGCGTGGGTTTTGCAAACTAAGTGGCGCGTGAGTTGGCGGGACTCTTGCGCGAGCAGTGGAGTGGACAATTCACCGCGAACAGAAATCAATCAATGCTCTTCTCTAAAGAGAGAATAGGATCCACCATTTTCCCGAGGCCCGGGTTAACGGTACACCTTTTGCGTATTGCAAGGTGCATGCGATTTTGCCCCATCGTCCATCCGAAATATGAGTTCGCACCATCCCAGCCGAGCCAGTATCGACCCCCTTTGTCCGTTGCAAAACATATTATGCGCGCGCACGCCTTGATCAAACATCATCGGTTTCACGAATCCTTCGCAACAGATGGGACGAAGTGCGCACGAGCGCGTCGTCGCGCACACATGCCGGAATCTTTTCGAAAAAAGCTTCAGTTTCGTAAGGATGTCAAAATCGAACGTCCAAACCAGATTTTGCAACACTGATTTTCGAAAAAAACTTGCGCGCGCGCTCTCTGGTCAATTCTAAAGAAAACTATTGGCCCCTCAACAGGTTAAGAAAGAAAATGCTGCCAAACGGGCTCCCCGCGCGAGCTTGTCGAAATCGTCCGAACGCCTTTGCGCGCGTGCTGTCGCAAGAATGTTTTGCAACATATGCTACGAAGTGCGCGCGCGTCGTCGCGCGCGCATGCCACAATCCGTCGAAACCATAGGTTTCGCACGCGTTTGTTTCTTTAAAAAACGAGTGTCCCAACAACATATAAAACAACACATGGTTCTGCAACGTCAGTTTTCAAAAAAAAAGCTTGCGCGTGTTCTCTTTCGATTTTGTTTGTTCCAACCTGTTTTCCCAACGTTGTCAATCAATTATGCCAAGCGGGCCTCCCGTGCCGCATCCCGAAATCATTCGCACGCCCTTGCGCGCTTGCTGGGGGGTCACGATCCGCGTCGAATAATACCACGCGGCCACCTTTGCGCGTCGGCCGCGCGCGCATATCGAACTCCTTCCAAAACCTTCATCGCCGACACGAGGACGCCGTCATCGTCGCCAGCGTGATCAGCATCCGCGCCGTCACTGGCTGTGCCACCGTCGCTGTCAGCATTGTCACCACCATTGCTATTATCATCACCGTCGTGTTTACCTGTGCCGACGTTGCCATGATACCGCGCCCGCCCAAGTCGCCGACTCGCAATGATGTGTCCGCGGGGATGTGCCGAACGAGCAGCCCCACCGCGTTCGCGTCGGCCGCGCCAAACTAGGTGGCCGCTAAGCGCCTTTGAATGCGCGGGCTGGCGCGGCCGCAAAGATGCCTCAGCCAACACCAAGCAATGATGGCAATCGCCTACGCATGAGTTTTGCAAACCTTGTTGTGGGTGGGTGGGTAGGGTGATTGCGCGAGCGGTGGAGTCGACATCGTCAAGTTTGGTAGGGCGAATTGCACCACGCCCACCTAGGTAGAACACCATATATTGAAACATCGTAGGCAACATAACAGATATTGCAACATATCAATGCTCCTTGCTAGAAGTCGACTGGGCTCTGCCCATGCGCCTTTGTGGCGTATGGTTTGTTCGTTTCGTTTTGTGTTGTTGTGTTGCAGTGTATACATGATTATGTCCCATTGTCTATCCTACAAATGAGTTCGCATCGCCCGTGCCCAGCCAGTACCGCCCCCCCGTCACCCCTTCACAAAATATATGCGCGTGCACGTCAACAGCTCCCAAGTCTCATTTGCAAAACATGAGACGAAGTGCGCGCGCGCGTCGTCCCGCGCGCATGCCGGACTCCTTCAAAACATTTCGGCTTCGTAAGGATTTCAAAGCCGAGTGTCCAAACAACATCTAAACACACATGGGTTCGCAACACGGATTTTCAAAATAAACTTACGCGCGCTCGTGCGACTGCTCAAGAAGCCATCGGTCTTTCAACATGCTCATAAAATGCTACCAAACGGGTTTCCCGCGCGCGCATGTCGAAATCGCTCGGACGCCCTTGCGCGCGTGCCGTCGCGAGAACCCCTTGCAACAAATGGGACGAAGCGCGCGCGCCGTCGCGCACATGCCGAGATCCGTCCAAAAACGTCCGGCGTCGTAGCGATATCAAAAAACCGAATGCCCGAGAAACGTACAAAAAAACACAGTTCTTCGCAACATCAGTTTTCAAAAAACGTGCGCTCGCGCTCGTGGCCATCCTTGGGGAAACCATCGGTTGTTTCCACTTTTGTCATGGACTTCTTCTAAGCGACCCTCTGGCGCCCGACATCATTCGCACGCCCTTGCGCGCGTGGTGGGGGGCACGATCCGTGTCACATAAAACCATGCGGGCCACTCTCGCGCGTCGGCCCCGCGCGCATGTCGATCTTTGTCCAAAGCCATCATCACCGACTCGAGGGCGCCGTCATCGTGGTCGGCGTGATCAGCATCGGCGCCAGCACCGCGCCTTCGTCGTTGCCAGCATCGCCACCAGCATCGCTAAGATCATCATCGTGTCTACTGTTGTCGACGTTGCCATGATACCGCGCCCGCCCAAGTCGCCGACTCGCACTGAAGTGCCCGCCGGGATGTGCCCAGCGCTCAGCGCCGCCGCTGCCGCGTCGGTCGCGCCAAATTAGCTGGACGCTGCGCGGGCGTGCTTGGGTCGGCGCGGCCGCCGAGATGCACCAGCCAGCACCAAGCATGCATCGCAATCGCCACCGCAGGGGCTTTCCATACTAAGTTGCGGGTGGGTGGGTGGGATGTTCGCAAAAGCATGGGATGTGTCAGCTCGCTTGTTAAAGTCAAGTCCACCACATAATGTGCACCGCACACAGCGCTTCAAGTATATAGTACCACGTCAGTTGTTCCTCCGAGGTAACACCACATATATTGCACCACGCACATACATACAAAGCACCGCATACATTGTAGACACACGTTGTGTGGGGTCCACGCCTGCCAAGACTTATAAGGACCAGGAATGGGGGGATGAGAAGGAGGGGGAGAGGAGGAGGTGGAGGAGGAGGAGGAGAGGAGGAGGAGATGCTGGAAAAGGAGGAGGAGGCGGAGGAGGAGGAAGAGGAGGAAGGGGGCGGAATGGGAGGAAGAAACGTTGTTGGAAGAGGAGGCGGATGAGATTGGGGAGGAAGAGGAGGGAGGAGGAGGGAGGAAGAGGAAGGAGGAAGGAAATGGAAGAGGACGTGGAGGAGGAGGAGGGAGGACAGCACAGAGATCGGGGGATCACCAAGGTCGCTGCAGGTTCATACCTGAACGATATTTTGCGGATGGGGCGGCCAGCAGAGGAATGCTTGAGACGTGTCCAGCAGCAGGCATTCAGACTCCAGCAGTTGACCGCCTCCAAGCCGCATCCTCAGAGTCCGAGGCAAACCAGGACACCCTCCTGCCAGGGGGGGGGGTCAGAGTGGCGGCCCGAGCGGTCTGACATTTTCCCTGCGCGAGGGCGTGGCTGGATGGAGGAGGCGGCCCCATGGGGGCGGCACACGTGCGGCGTTCCCGATGCATCGCCTTCGAGGAGCCGATGAGCTGCCATCTCTCTCTCCCCCCCGCAGAAGGCCGGCGGGAGTCGCCGCCGGAAGCAAAGCGACGGCGCCTCCGCCGGCGGAAGGCCAGCGGAGTCTTGCAGAAGTTCAGAATGCGCCCCCGAACGGACACCAACCCAGTGGGACTCCGGGTTCCCAGGGCGGGCCGCACGGGGGCAAGGCTCGGGGCTCAACACACGGGGGTCAATGCCAACGGGGGTCAGCCAGAGCGCCGGATGTTGCAGGATCCTGCATGGACAGGGTCGCATTGACCAGGGCTTGGGCGCAGGATCCTGCAGGATCTTGCAGGATCCTTCGCATTGACCAAGGTTTAGGTGAAGGATCTGCAGGATTCTGCAAGGCTTGACTGACCCGGGTCTAGACTGACCCGGGTCATAAGATCCCCGAAAGGCATGGGGCCAGCAGGGAGTGCCCACACAAGAGGTGCGGCGCCCACACCGTGCTGCGAGTCGGTGGGGCGCAGGGCCGCACGCTATCGGGGACCCGGGCCGCTCTCCGAGGACGCCTCGGGCGAATGGTGGCTCTCCTCCGGCAGGGTTCGAGCGAAGCGGTGCTTTGGCGATCTCGTTGGCCGTGGTCGTTTCGGTGTCGTTTTGCAGCAGAGGCGGATTGGACACAGAAGGAAAGGAACGCGAAAACAAAGCGAAGACGAACAACTTTTGGGTTTAGCTCGAGCCATGCCCTCTGGCATTGGAGGTCGGTGCAGGCGCGAAGGTGGGAGCGCCACACCTGAGCAAGGCAGCGGGAGCGCAGGCTGTGCTGGCTGGGCTGGCTCTTGGCGGCGAGGCAGCGGCGCCAGGCATGCGTAGAAGCCAAGGAGGTATCAGGCGGCCGCGCTGGCATAGCGATGATGATGATGATGATGCTGATGATGCTGATGATGATGCTGATGAGGATGAGGATGAGGATGAGGATGAGGATGAGGATGAGGATGAGGATGAGGATGATAATGAGGATGAGGATGAGGATGAGGATGAGGATGAGGATGAGGATGAGGATGATGCTGATGCTGATGCTGATGCTGATGCTGATGCTGATGAGGAGGAGGAGGAGGAGGAGGAGGAGGAGGAGGAGGGGGAGGCTGCTCGCGCTTCAGGCCAAGGCCGAGCTGGCCGATGCGCTGCGGGAGAGCGTCGCGGCGGCCGCGCGCGTGGAGGCGCGCTGTGCCTGCCGCTGCTTTGTGCATCCTGGCGCGGCCGAGCCGAGGCGATCTCGTCGCCGTGCTGATGCGGCCACAAACGACGCACGCATCCGATCCGAGCTCCCGGCTCTGCGGACCGATCTTGGCCCCGGGAGGGGCCTGGGAAGCGCCCGGAACGTTTATTTTTTTTTTTACAGCCGCAGGCGGAAGCGCCGGCGGCGAGCAGTCACGGTCGGGCTGCGGCCGCGACTAAATTCCCGAGCGCGCGCGGGGGCCGCGGATCAGGCGGCGGGGGGGAGCAGCAACCCAGGGCGTCTGAGAGGCCAGGCGGTCGTGCAATCCCAGGGAGTCTGAAAGGTCAGCCACCTGAGAGGTCGTGCAAGCTGCGACCCAGGGAGTCTGAGGCCCGGAACGTTTGCTCAGCGCGTCGCGATTTACCAGCCTGGAACATAACCTTGTGCCGATGATAAAAAAGGACCCCCCCTTTCCACGCTAGAGTTGATTATCCACTATCCTTATCCCTATCCCTATGCTGGGCACCTCCTCGTCTCGACGCCAATCTTAGGGATTCCCTTTTTTTCTGAGTGCGGATCCCTAAGATTGTCATCGCCTTTTGGCGTGTCAATCTTAGGGATAGGGATACGTTCGAGGCTGGTAATCGATGCCAGTTCTGGCCCACCACGCTTCGGCGCGACACGCTATAGCGCGTTCTGGACCCTGGGCCCAATGCGCCAACGTCCTGGGCGGGCTTTTTTCCCGGCTTCCCGGCCACGCGGAGCCAAGCGACGCGCTGTCAACTTGCAGGGCACAGCGTGTCACCGGGGCCGCGGCCGCGACACGACGATCAGAAGTTCTGAAGCCGAAGAGTGGCCTTTCTCGCAAGGGGGAGGAGGAGGAGGAGGAGGAGGAGGAGGATGAGGAGGAGGAGGAGGAGGAGGAGAAGGAGGAGAAGGAGGAGGAGGAGGAGGAGGAGGAAAACGATCCTTGTGTTTTTCCTGCGCCTCTCGGGCTTCCAGGAACAGAGACCACTCGTGATGAAGAACTGGCCCCAGCGGAGGCTCGGGGTCTGGGACCCGTTCTCACCACCCACCCTCTGCACGAACGAACTGGGCACTGAAAGAATGGGTACCATACCCAACAGCGGATCTTGTTCATTTTGAACAGGACTCGCTGTCCACGCCGCCGCGGCCTGTGTCCATTCGAGACAGAGGGCCGCCTGCCCAACATCGGCCGCTATTGGTTTGGGACAACATTTGCTGTTGGGCATTGTACCCATTTTTTCGGTACCCATTTCGGGCGTCCAAACACCCAGCCAGCCCAACCCAACCCGAAGGCTTCAATTTGCCCTCCCTTTCCAGTGGGGGGGAGTCGGGGGACATGGGAAAAACACATGGAGCCCGTACCCCCCCCCCCGACCCGAGATTCGGGTCCAGTTCGCGTCTTCGGGTTGGGTTGGGGTGGTCTGGTGGGAAGTCACGGTCCCTTCAGGGCCCCTCTCCCTCATGCCAAGTGCCGCTGCAGTGGCCCTTGGTGCCCTCCCTTCGTGGGAGCCGCGGAAAGGGCCCAGCCCGAGCGCGCAGGCCGCCACTGCCGCATCGCACGCAGCAGTCGGCAAGCCGCGCACCAGAGGCCACCCCCCGCCCGGGGTCGCGCCTGCGCGGCGCCGCTCTGCTGCGGCGCCGACGCGCCGCGCTCCCGCGGCGACCACGCCGCCCCGACCCAGGGGAGGAAGAGGCTTGTGGATGCCATGACAACGGACACCCTCACAATCCTGTCGTTGAATAAAAAAAAGCTTCGAAATGCCTGAAACATGTTCCTAACATGCTTCAAACTTGTTTTTGCCTTCACAGGCTTAATACATTTTTTGAGAGCACTGCCTAGACATCTGGAAAGTATTTGGCAGCACGCTCCCTCTCCACTGATCGTCGCCCACGAGAAGAGGCACCGCTGCCGCTGCCCGCCCCTCGTCGCCATGGCTCCCGGCACCCCGGCTGGACCGCACCCCCGGGGGCCCCTCTGGGTCCGATCGGTCCGGCTCGGTACAACTTCGGCGCTTGCGGCGGGCTTCTGCCGAGCCTCGCAGGCTGCCGACGTCCCCGCCACCCCCTCCCTCTTCTCCGCAGCTGCAGGGTGCCACGTATTGTCGGGGCCCTGAAGAAGGAACCCTTTTCGTTGAGGGGGGTTCCGCGTTCCTTACGTGTTTCACAGCTTGCCTCAGGTTTCCCTTATGTTTTCGATCGGCCATCGAAGTTTCACTTGTGGAAAAAAGGGGCCTCGTTCCTTATTCAGGGTTCCTTAGGTCAACGCCCCGACTGTGCCGCTGTTCCCTTCGGCCCAGTTCCGATGATGCCGATGCCGTGATGCCTCCTGGCGCAGCCGGGGCCCGACCCGCCCAGATTTTTCGTGCCGGTGCGGCCCAGTCCGACGCACAAGGCCGATGCGATCCGGATTCCCGGTTCTGCGCTGACCGATCCTGGCCTCGGGAGATGTCCAGGGAGTTAGGGGTATTCTTACCAGCCTCGAACGTATCCCTATCCCTAAGATTGACACGCCAAAAGGCGGTGACAATCTTAGGGATCCGCCCTCAAAAATTAAGGGAATCCCTAAGATTGGCGTCGTGATGAGGAGGTACCCAGCATAGGGATAGGGATATGTTCCAGGCTGGTATAAGCATCTCTCAAGGCAGGAAAAAACACCCAGGCCCGAGAATTGACGTTTTCTTTAAACGGCCCTGGGCGTCTACGAAACAGCCCTGCCCTGTTCGAGCCCTGCTTGTGGATGCGTTTACTAAGCGGCTTCGCGCTTGTCGGGGTGATTATTCTGGGGGGGGGGATTTTCTGCCCTCGAATCTCGGGTGGGGGAACGTGCAGCAACGACACGCTGATGTTGGCAGCCCGCCGGCTTGTTGCTCCTGTTTGGGTCCGAAGGCCCTCCGTTCCTTCCGCGGTGGCTGGCCGATGGGCTCCCAGCGGCGGCGTGCTCCCCGGGTACAGGCAGCACTGATGGTAAGAACGATCGACTTCCCAAAGGGGTGCCCCTCGCAGCCCTACCTTTTCGGCCATCTCCGGTTTGTCCTCGGCCACTGTTCATGGCCAGCCTCGCTCCGAAGGCGCTTCGGCACGGGCGCCCGCTGCCCCTGCGCATCCTGGACGCGCCTCCTCGCTCCCAGCTCTGCCCGCATCGGCATCCTCCTGCTCCCCCGCTCGAGGCCGAGCTTTCAGCGACACTTGCCTCGGATTCTCCCCGGCCGCGCGCAGAGGAGGGGGGTTTTAGGGGGGTAGGGGGGGAAGGCTCCTTAGAAGCAGCCCTGCTTTTCAGAAGGCGCAGGCCTTGCCCACATCGCCGGGAGGAGGAACACTCCGCCCACAGCTGCTCCCTCGTGCGCGCCGCCAATCTTTTGGGGGGGGTCTGCCCGCGGCCACGGCCTGGGCGCCGGCAGGGCGCCGGAGTCCCATGGGGGCGGCGCCCGGGCAGGGCCCCATCTCGTGAGCCCAGCGCCGAGCCGGAGTCGCCCTCGGCTCGGGCGCTGCTGGACGTGCGCCCGGCCCAAGGTGCCCCTCCCCAGGAGGTCCAGTGGGGGCCCCCAGGGCCTCCAGAGAGCGCCTCACGAGGCCCAGAGGGCCCCCGGGGGCTCCAGAGTGGAGCAGAAAGCTGGGTGGCACCTTGGGCCAGGGGCACCTTCAGCAACCCCCGATCGGCAGGTTCGCGCCGCGTTGGCGCGGCGGCGGCCCCAGCGCGTGCGCTCAAGATTGAACGCCGCTGGTGGTCCGGAGCCAGCGGATACATCGAGCGGTCCGCGCTGCTGGAAAGCCACGATCGTTCAAGGTTGGCGCGACGCCAAAGTCCAGCGCCCACGGTGTCGCGACGTGGAACCTTCCGTGTGCTGCTTCAGGGGTTGCAGCGAGCGGGGTAAACAGCTCCTCCGTCTACTACTCTAAAGCCCGCTCTGGGGAGGTCTCCGGTGCGTCCACCGCGCTTGCCAGCGCCCGCCTCCAAGAGAAGGTCGAGACGGCAACACCCACCGCCACCCCCCAATTTCCCCCCCTCCTTCTGGTCCTCCTTCCCCTTCTCAATCTCCTCCTTTCCCCCATCGTCGCCCTCCAATCCTCCGTCTCGCTTTGCTGGGACCCCTGAGGCAACATGCGGCTGGGGCGCCCTCGGGACGGCGACGATAGACGACGACGACGACGACGATCGGGGATCAAGATTGTTGGGCACTTTTTGAAGGCTTTCGGGCACTGGCGACGATCATTGTGGCGAGGACGACGGCATCGTTATGCAGAAATTATGAACTCCGGGCCACGCAGGCTTTCGCTTTGTAGGGTGCCCCCATGCTGGACACGCGCGCGCGCCGAACCTGCGGGGCCACACGCGCGCGGAGCGGGCGCGGCCACCTGTGAAGGAGCACAGTGTGGTGCACATGCTTTGATCTTACGAACGCGTTCGGCAACACCCCTTGTCAAACGAGTATCGTCATTATCATTATGTTTATTCGTAATAGCAGCAGTATTATTCGTATCATTATTAGTATTATTATTAGTATTATTGTCATTATTATTAATAATAATAATATTATTGCTATTATTATTATGATTATTATTATTGTTATCATTATTATTACTATTATTCGAGCCTCGATCGTGACCCGAGCGGGCACCATCCCTGTCAGATACTAGCGCGCCGACCACGGGCGTACGCCGAGCGGGCACCATCCATGTCAAAAAGAGTGCCATGGGGGCTGCACGCGCGTGCCAATCCCGATCAAGGCCGTTATCAAGTCTCCCTCGTGGGTTCTTTAGCTTGCACGGCCTTTTTGATAGGACTTGGCGCGCAAGGTGTAACACACTTCCATCGTGCACCCCATCCTCCATCGTGTCTGCCGTATTAGTCGTCCTTCTCCTCGTCCTGCGCCTCTTCCCCCTTTCCTCTTCCAGCTCCGTCTCCTCAGGCCTCGCCCATACATTATTTAGAGCCTTTCCAAACGTGGTGCATATAGATCCGTAAGGGCTTCGCCCCCTGCCGCCGGCCCCCTCTCTCGGAGAATGGGTCATGGAAGAGCTAAGTCATGAGGCTTTGGCGCTGTCGTGCAGCAGTATCGGAACTTCATGCGAGGCCGATTCGCAATCGGCAAAACCAACTGATCGCAAGAGGGGTTACCACACAGGGCGATTGGTAAGACGTGTATGATTTACGAGCTTGGTTACCACACCTTGGGATTAAAGGGCCGAGGGAGTACTCGCAGTTTGGATTACCACGCCTTGCGATGGATGTGCGTGAGGGGTGGCACCGAATTTCACAAATGTGGCAAATCCCTCATGTTTTTGGACCCCCCCGCGGATCTGCGTGAGGGGTGGCACCGAATTTCACAAATGTGGCAAATCCCCTATGTTTTTTAACCCTGACCCCGCGGATCTGCGTGAGGGGTGGCACCGAATTTCAGAAATGTGGCAAATCCCATGTGTTTTTTGACCCCCCCGCGGATCTGCGTGAGGGGTGGCACCGAATTTCAGAAATGTGGCAAATCCCATGTGTTTTTGGACCCTGACCCCGCAGATCTGCGCGAGGGGTGTCGATTTCGAGCCCCCCCAGCAATTCAGACAACGCGCCCAGGGGGTGCTAAAAGTCTTGTTTGGGCCTCCCCCCCCTCGCGCGGTCAGTCAACTAGTTACAGTAACCAGCAAGAAGCAGAACTGTAACACTGGAAACTACAAGCTACAACTGGTACTGGAAACTGCGAACCCGCGCCTACAGCCTGGTGGCCCCACAAGGGGGCCGGCGGATTTCCCATTCTTGGTCTCGGCTCGGTACATTTGCGATTGCTTCTGCTGCTGTTCGGGCCAAACAACAAGGCGCAGGCCGATCGTCAGTCATGAAATGCGTCGTCCTTTCGCCCCTCGCTTCTTGCCCTCATCGCACCCCCACGTAATACTCCTCCTCCTGAAGTTGTGAAGTGATCTCCTTCCCCCGCTCCCACCACCTGCTGCGTGGCCGAGGCCGTGAAGCAATTCTTGCTGAAGACCCGCGAGGTGGGCTCGGCCGCGGCTGCTGAGGAAAAGCTGTAGAGCATGATCGCTCACACCCTCAAGCTTACACCATGGTCAGCATATGTTGTAAGATAGCTATAGCTCTGGTGGCTGATGCCTAGACCTATGGCGACGATCGCAGCCATGTGCTAGAATGATTCGTTGATTGCGCAAGGTGTGTGTTGAATTCATCGGCTGCGCACATGTCGATGAGGTGCTTATTGCAGGAGCAACCCACCAGGTACAAAGGCATGTACATGTACCCCACCGGGCTTCAGGGTTTCATCGGCGGGCACTTTTGGATGCGTGTGTGTACGTGTCGTGCCTCCCTGGCAAGTTGCTGGGGGCACCGCTTGGGTCCTGGAGAGGCTCGCCATGAGGGAGTCTTGGGGGGTCCGCGAACGCCCTCTGGGGACTGTCTTGGGACCGTCAGGGGGTCGGGCGGCCTTCTGCAGCCTTGAAGGCGCGATGAGGCCGTCTTGGGGCTGTCTCGGGAGCTTCTTGTGGGGGATGAAGGCCGTCGTTCGTCGTTTGGCTGTCATGCGGGAGCGGTCTGGTAGCCGTCATAGACATGGACACTCAAACGGCAACAAGCCCATCGCGTATATGCCGAAACGACACTGGCACGATGTCTGGACGGTTGTCCGGGAGGCCTCTTGGATGTCCTGTGGCGTTTCGAAGCCTTGTGTTGGCCTTGGCGCTCAGCTCGCGGGGTTCCTTGAACCTGGAGGGCAGCTCGAGACATGCTCGGGGCGTGTCTTACATGCCTCACTTCACTTATCATCGGGCCTCACGGGCACTTGCAGGGTGTCCTCGGGAGGGCTCTGGAGGCTACAAGTAGCGGGCGATGCCACGGATGGGCTGTGCCGACAGCCTCGCAAGCTGGCCTGTAGGAGGAGACTGTGGATCAGATCGATAGAATGAGCAACACATCCGCTGGACCAGGTGATGCTCCGTGAGGAGGGTGTCATGCTTCGGCTGTGCAATGTTTCATCTGGGTTCCCCCCTGTCGCGACCTGCGTAGAGGGTTACTGCAGCCCTCAAGTGGGTCCGACCGTGGACGTCCTGCATGGGGCTGCCGCAGCCGGCTGCGGCCAGGCCTGGCTCCTGCCGCGACCCCCGAGAACGGGGCCCCTGGCCAGGGTGACGCGCAGCCTGCCTGCCGGGGTATGGCGCCACCTGCCGCGTGTCCTCGCCGAGATCGGAGGCTGACTGTGGCGGGCAGGCTCTGGAGGAGGAGGGGGAGACGCGGGTCGACGAGGGCGATATCACGAGGGGTCGAAGTTGGTCGCGCCTCGCGCTTCGCGGCCTGGGCGATGTCAGAGCGAGGCGCGAGGCGCTCATCCTGCTCGGGGGGGCGGAGGGGAGGGGCGGCGGCGTGAAAGCGCAAAGGTGATCGCGCTTCGCGGAGCGCGGAGCGCAAAGATGGCTGCCCCATCCGAT